CTACAAGATCTTCACCGTTGGTTGGATACAGAAAAAGATATACCAAATGAAAGTGCTTAGCCTTCGCATGTATAAAAACCGTAATTTTTTGAGTAGGGTTGCTACCTATTTAAAATTTGCTATCTTCTATAAATAGTATAAAGGAAAGTCGAGATATTTTGACCACGCTACTGAACGGATTTAGACGAGATTTTTTAAGTATATAACAAACGAATTACATGATGACATATTATTTCTTTCTCCAAATGCGTAAATGTACATACATATGCATACATTCAGCTCGTGCGAAGCCTCGCACATACGTGGCCAGCTAGTAATAAATAAATGGGTTTGAAACCTACTTTTTTACTTAATGTGGCATTCTCATTTTTTCTCTGACCGCACGATTTGTTTTGAAGGTCTTTGTAATTTCAGAAATATGATTAATTCCAAAAATGTTTTCAAAAATTCAGTGCAAAGTAAAATAAAAATATGGGTAACGAATGCAATAGGAAATTTCTTTATAATTTAAAAAATTTAAATTTTTTGGATTCACAAGTTGGATGACAAAGTTAGAAGAACGAAATTCGAGGATGTTATAGAGTTTATATAAGCCCTTTACATATAATTAAAAAAAAAAAAAGTATTGCGAAATTTCAATTGTTTGCAATTAATCCCGGGATTTTCGGGATTTGTAATTTACACTGATGGCAATAATAGAAACTCTTTTTCTTAACCAGTATTGGCTATATTTCGTTTTTTATTTAATAGTTAATATTTTTTTATAAATGTCTATCTCATTATACATATAACACCGCGCGATAGTAAATTTTAAGCACAAATATCAATATATTCGCGAAGCCCTGGGCCAAATATAGTAAAATTGCGTTTTTAGTTTTTCACTTTGACGTCAGTAATTCAAAAATGATTTAAACAATTCATATAAATGTGCTTAGAGAAGAAGTATGGGTATAAAATTAATGAGGAATTCCTGTAGAATTTAAACAGATTCAAGTTTCTGGTGCAGAAGGGCTGGTAAATATTGAAAGTGTCATTTTAAAATGTTATCCTTGAAATTTCGCAATCTTTTTTTTTTGGAAAAAATTATATGTTAAGGGCTTTCGAGACCTTAAAAAGTCCGGTATCCCGGGATTAACATTCCTAGTATGTATGTATATATGTTCTGCTCTCACAAAAGTTTGAAAACTATACGCCAACTAGAGACGCTGTTTCAGGGCTAATAAATCTAGGGTCATTGGAAAAGGTTTTGTGGAAAAAATTTGGAAAATTATTTCATGTCCCGTATTCGGCTGCCATAAATATGGTCACCGTAGTTATAACAAATAAGTTTATGCTTCCATGGTACTTTCATTGACGGTAAGCTACTTTTTAACCATTCAATTGTTCATATTTCCACCAAATTAAAGCAACATCTTAATATCTAAATTTCTTAAAAGGCCAGGTATGTATAATAATATTTCATGTAACACTGCAGATAATGCCAAGTATTTTGCGATAAGGTACTTTAAGTTGTTTTAAATCAATACACACTTATTAACAGCTGTGCTTATACGATGAAATAAGTAAATTTAAATAAAAAATTCCTTTAAAAAAAAATATTTAAATTTCCAAAGCCATAATTTATTCAGGTGACAGTGCTACTTGAGCAGTTTACGAAAATTTCAAAGGAAAACTAATCATTCAATTATAAAAGGTTTTGTAAGAGCGTGTGTGAATCGGTAACAAAGTTCGCGTCGAGTAAATTTTTGACAACTATGAGGTAAATAATATTTGACAAATGCATAGAAAATTTTGACAATCGCAAAGATTGTTTATGTGTGTAATTTTTCGTTAAATAAAAGCGTAAATAGATGAATTGCAATCAACTATGGTAGATGCTTTCTTAAAAAATTCATTTCACTTCAATTTGTAATATTTTATTCCAAATAAATCTGCGGTTATCCAAAATTTACTGCTGTCAAAAAATATTTCATTTCACACAGCAGATTGGCAAAACTGTCTCACCATATTAAAAATATTATTCAACAGCTTTCCCCATAGAACTTTGTTACCGATTCACACACGCCCTAAGTAGCTTTTTTCTAAAATTTGGCACTCCCACCCACAGGGATGTTTTTTGGAAAAGGGGAAAAGGGGAAGAATTCAATCACTTTCAAAAAGTAGCGAAGTTCCACATAGTGCATAATAGTGCGTGGTAGTATTTGCTTTAATTATTTATTTGAAACCAGCTTATTTACATCGAATACAACCTCTGATTTTTATTAAAATAAATATTTGTATGTATGTACATACATATATACCAAAGTTTCTTACGTCAGACCGCGTATAACTTCATAATGGATGGTCCACTTTGAGCTGTTTTTCTGTTGTTATTTTTTTTTACCTTGCAAATTCTTTGCGGTACCATTTACGGTTTATAGATATGAAGAAATTATTTGTTTGTGGAAAAATTAAATAAGTAATTTGATAAAAAAATACGCCAAATAATACGGTAACGCGAATTCTTTGATGTTGCACTTTTAGGGCTAGTTCTTCAGTGCAAGTTTAAATTTAGATCACATAAATTATGTTTGGCTTAAACAGCTCGAGCGGTTAATCTAAATTTATGTTTATTTATTTATTTAAATTATGCCGCCGATCAGAATATCAAACATTGGCTAATACAGTCGCTATAGGCGATTCGTGCTGGTTGAACTCAGGAAGAATGAAAAGGCCACGCAGCTACTGAATGATTGCGACAAGAACGCGATTTACGCCTACGAGAAGTTCCGTAAGTTTGCAATTACAATATCGCGCCATTGGCTAACCAAGCCCATGAATACGGTTTTCCAATATGATATTGCATCAAAGTCTTATTCCTTACAAATTGTAACGAGCATGAGAATTTTTGACAGTTGTTTGGGACGGCAGTAAGCTTGGTATGCAGTGCCATATTTTGGATATATGGGTTCCTAGGCTCTTTCCGTGGTGCAGGCCCCCTGGGAGTATTAACGCAAACGGTGAAAGCGGGTCTCCTTCAGATTTTAGTTTTTTAAAGTTGTAAACATAACCTAACTTTACAGGTTAAAATAACGATAAGTTTTTCTATATAATCTAAAAATACATGCATTGTACATTTTAAACCACGTCATATTTTTTTTGTTTTGCATAGTAGAATGAGAATGGAATGAAAAAAAAACATTTTTAATTTTTCACATATGTACCCTAATGTACATAGGGTGGTCCAAAAACAGTAAAGTTGGAATTGTAATGCTCTCACCCCGTGGGACTATTCTATATCGAGAAAAAGTATACCCCTATTTCTTTATTTTGAAATCATAAAATGTTTGGAGGTCGCTCAAAAGCGCTCAAAGTTTTCCATGTATTTCTATATGGTAAAAAATAAAATTATTCGTAGAAATGGTATAGAATTCTTGAAAATCAATATTTTTCGATCAGAAACCTCTGGTTCTCTTCAGGAGACTTTCAATAATAATACTCAATTGTTTATTTAACTATTTTTTAATACTAAAGATATTTTATTGGTCCACCCATTGCATTTTTCGGGGTTTTTGTGGGTTTTTGGCGGACTTATAAATTATTGTTGCGATGAAAAACTGGTTAAATAAACAACAGCAAAACATAAAAATAAAATCTCTTAACTTTGTGAAAAACTAACAAAAACTCAATAAATTTGCACACAAAGTTTGCAACTTTGTTGAAGACGTGGACGAGTAATGTCCACCAGATTTTTTCAGAAAAATTCTAAGTATACAGCCCATTCAATTTTAGTACACAAAGTGCAAGTTTGAAGTTGCTAAAAGCGGCGTTGATTTTTTGAAATTCAGCTTCAGTTTAGAAAATGACCTTTCTGCTAAACTGTTGATGACCACGAGAGAAAGGTATATTCTTAATAGAAGTTTGACGTTATAATTAAACAAAATCTTGTACAGCCGGGATCCCATAGTTCATACATACATACATTGGTCAAAAAAGAACCAAATGCAAACACTTCCTAGATTTGAGCACGTGGAAGCAATATTTGTTTACGCAAATAGTAACATTTTAAACTTGTTATGTAAACACGTTTTTATTTAAGACAGAGATTGGGCACAATTCATTCAATGCAAAACCGAAAGTGTTTCAATGTTAACTTAAATTTTATCAGCAATTTAATTCTTTTATAACTTTATTACATTGCTTTATAACACATTTACACGCGCATATATATATATGTACATACAAACATTTAACCATATATACATCCATACTTATATGTACGTAGGAACCATATATATATGTACATTAGGGGGGTCCAAAAACATAAAGTCGGAATTGTAATGCTCCCACCCCCTAGGATTGTTCTATATCGAAAAATTATACCCCTATTAGAGGTCTCTCAAAGCGCTCAAAGTTTTCCATGTATTTTTATATGGGGAAACACCACTTTTCGTAGAAATGGTATAGAATTCTTGAAAATCAATATTTTTCAATCGGAAGACTCTGGTTCTCTTTAGGCGACTTTTGAATAATAATACCCAATTGTTTATTTAACCATTTTTTAATACTAACGATATTTTATTGGTCCCCCCATTGCATTTTTCGGGGTTTTCGTGGGTTTTTTCCGGACCTATAAATTAATGAAAAAATGGTTAAATAAACAATTGGGTATTATTATTGGGAATCTCCTGCAGATAAACAGAGTTTTCCGATAGAAAAATATAGATTCTTAAGAATTCTATACCATTTCTACGAAAAGTTGTTTTTTCTCCCATATAAAATACATGGAAAACTTTGGGCGCTTCGAGCGACCTCTAAATATTTTTTGATTTCAAAATAAAAAATTAGCGATATATTTTTTCGGTATAGAACAATCCTAGGGGGTGAGAGCATGAAAATTCCGACTTTACTTTTTCACATGCATTTTTGGAGGGCCCTAATGTACATACATATCTATGGATGAGCATATGTAGTAATATATATGTGCACATATACTACAATGAACGATTTATGTTCCTTACAAGATCACCATCAATTTTCACATTTGTCAACTCCATTCTACGTGTCGTTTCTTCAATTGTAGATATCCGATTTTTACTGGTATTGTTTCACTACCGCTCAGCACACCAAAAAATAACGGTTTTAATAAAAAACTAATTATCAAGCGCATCCGTCAACCGAAGTGATCCATCAGCTTTTGCGTTTCTTTTCAGAATGAGAGTCAAGTGTTCTTGAAACCTTTCGCTTCCCTTTGATTAATACTGTTTGGCAAATTTATCGATGCAATATACAGAGAGTGATCGGTGAAATAATAAAAAACATATGTTAGTATGTGTATGCTCGTATAAAGCACAATTGAAAGCTCCACTGACTCAACAGCATGCCATAGGGGTTGTGATTGTATAATCTTAGTTTCATTTTATATATGTAAATATGTACATATGTAAATACACTAGTTTACATAAATAAGATTTTCCTCGAGAATCTAGCTATTCAAGCTAATCAAAAGTCACATATGAGTCAGAATTTCTGGAACGGGCCACTTCAGTTATGTGATATTTTATTTCCAATCAGCATTGGTAGTTTTTCATAGCTATTCAATGCAAACAAGCTTTGTACCACGTTAACCGATTTCTATAATTCGTTTTTTTAAGAAATTCTGTTACCTGACAGGTGTTCCCATACTAATTTGGTTTAAATCTGATCATTGCATCATGAAGATATTAACGATTATCTTAAATTTTTATTTAAGAATTGATGTCGGTTTTGTTTTTTGCTTAAAAATTACTTGTTTACTTAAATCTACCTCGTGTTTGTTTTTGACTCTGTCACATAAAAACAAATAAACCGGTGAGGGCACGCTGGTTTCAGACGCACTTGACATAATAAGTCCGAACGCGCTCGTTGCATTGCGCGACAGCCTTCAACTAAAAATAACGGTTTTCCACGTTGCGATCCATTTTTTTTCTCAACAGAATATATTAGAGTAAAATTTTTTATATGTGGGTTTTTTTGTGTGAAAAAGTGGTGGTGTTTATATTTTCACCAACAATTTTATAAAAATTTACCCTTAAAAAATATTTTTAAATAAATGAAACTTATGTTATTGAAGAGTTTTTAATAACAATGAAAATGGCGGTTGAATTGTCAAAATTGGTCAATTAGATCGTCGGTATTGAATTTTGAAGTAAGAAGGACAAAAAAACACTTGTCGATATATAAGAAAAAAATGTTTTTTGTAAAAACAAAGTTAGATATTTGTTTGCATTGTTAATAGCATATATGTAATACTTAGGTTTACATATAAGTAGATTAACCTCATTTTCGAGCTTAACTCCCTAATCTGTAATTATAAAAAGCCATACAAATTCGTTCCTTGGTAATCTGTAATTAGAAAATAATCTCAGATTTAACCGATAACACTGGTCTACAAATTTCAACTTTTTTTCTGCGAATAAGACGGGACCTGGTGTTTCTGAACGGATTTTTCGTGCTGAACACGAATCCGGGGTCAAAAATGTCCCATCACGTCACGTTTTCGAGAAAAAAGGGGTTGAAACCCCTAAAAACAGCGTTTTTGGCCATTTTCGAAAAATTATAGAGCTGAACCCTGACGTGGTACAAATTTTGCATATATCAGAAATTAAAGGCTAAACCGTGCCCTTTCGAATGAGCCCTATGCCGAATTGATCGCGTGCACCCTTAAAGCAGGGGGTGTATTTGTGTTTAGGGGTGCAGGAAAAATTGATCACAGAAAGAATTTAATCTTAAACGATCATAGAAAATTAATAATGCCAAGGTTTTAACTATATTAAAAGTCGCTGATTACGAATCTGCAGTTAGATTTTAAAAATTTAAGATGACGGGTCGAATATGGTGGATATAAAAATTGGACTCCTAGACACAAATACACCCCCTGATCTAAGGGTGCATGCGATTAATTCGGCATAGGGCTCATTCGAAAGGGCACGATTTAGCCTTTAATTTCTGACATATACAAAGTTTGTAGCACGTCAGGGTTCAGCTCTACAATTTTTCAAAAATGGCCAAAAACGCTGTTTTTAGGGGTTTCAACCCCTTTTTTCTCGAAAACGTGACGTGATGGGAAGTTTTGGACCCCAGATTCGTGTTCAGCACGAAAAATCCGTTCGGAAACACCAGGTCCCGTCTTATTCGCAAAACCCTTGTAGACCAGTGTAACTTTTCGGTGTCCAACTTAGTTTTGTCGATTATTTTTGCGAAGAAGAGGAGAAATGCCAAATGTAAAAGTAAATAAAAATGGACGCTAGCAAGGAAACGAAGTTTGTAAAGGTATTTTTAATATAAAAACTAAGTTAAAATATATATAAAGTGCTTAATATAGCAGAAAAAAGTGATCACGGCGGCACGGAGAGGAAACTTCCATACAAAATCGTCAACCCCAACAGGACTGCCGTACAGCTACCCACCACAACAACCCGAAGGAACATGTGCTTTACACGGTTTCGTTTAGGGCACACAAAACATGCTCACCAACATCTACTACTAAGAACGCAGCCACCCACTTGTTGATTTTGCATTATCTCCCAACTAACAATCCCACATATAATTTCCGAGTTCCCAAACCTAACCCAACACCGTTCAGCAATATTTAAAAACACAAGTATTCAAAATGTTCTTAAATCCCCAACCGAAAACAATGTTAATTTATAATTTTTATTTTTGAATAGAATTGGTATCAGCAATTTAATTTAAAAAAATATTAATATTATTATTTCAAATTGACATATATATATTATTGACAAGTAAGGCGATAGCCCTGGCAGCTAGTGCTTCTTTTTACTTTGTTATAGTTTTAATTATAACAAAGACTTACATAATAATAATAATAATAGTCCGATTGCAACAATTTTCATCGTTTTGCTTTTATGGGTCAAGCACAATGTGGTGCTACGCCCAATTTCCAAAAATTTTATCATAAACGTATTTCGTAAACTTGGTTATTGTCCGATTTTAAAAATTTTCAGCCATTTGGTATGTTGTACCAAGGCCAATAACTGTGCCAAGTTTGGGAAAAATTGGTGGAGCGTCTACCAAGATATACACATGTAACCATTAGTGAGCGTGGCTACGCGCATTATCCAAAAATGGATAATATTCTTGTTTTTCGTCTAAAAATTATTGTAAATATCAAATTTGAGTGAATAATCTTCAGTAATTACTAAAATATCGCAGTTTTCATATTTCTGAAAACTACCGTTATATGGGAGGTAGGCGTGGCTATTGTTCGATTTTGCCCATTTTTAATACCATCCGTCCCGAAAGAAGAACACGTACCAAGTTTGGTTAAGATACCGCAATTTTTACTCGAGTTATTGTGTGCACAGACGGACGGATGGACGGACGGACGGACGGACAGACAATCACCGCTTAATCGATTTCTCTTTTCATTCTGATCATTTATATTTACATTTGTCTACATCTATCTCGATTCGTTTTGTCTCTTACAAACAACTGTTATGTGAACAAAGTTATATATCGAGCCTTAACCGCCAAAATAACGTAAGCGACATTTTTTTCAAAATTTTCTGTTTGATGCAGAAATGTTCCTAGAGCATCTAGAAGCACTTCTGCATCAAAAAGAAAATTTTGAAATGTCGCTCACGTTATTTTGGCGGTTAGGGCTCGATATATAAAAATTAAAACGACCAGCGCAGATCTCAATAATTTGAAAGTATCAAGCAACACTTGTGTTATGGAATTTTCCAATCCTTGAAATAAACTGAATAAAAAACAGAACATTAAACTGTATTTAATTTTTGTTTTTTGCGAGCATATTTACCAGTGTTTTAGTGCTTATCTAAGCGCTTAAACTGGATTTTTTCGTGCTTATTTTCTTCGGCCCTGTATATACATAAGTGATGATTAAAGAAATAGTTTTTTGTATACAAGCGTTTAAATTTAGATAAATGTCAATTTAGATCAGTGATTCTTAAAGTGGTACAGGTGCACCCCTAGGGGTCCACGGGAGACTCGGCAAGGGTCGGCGTGAAAAAAATAGGGGGGTCCACGAAAATTTATCTGGTTTCGATAGTAAAGAACCAAAATGGTTGCTTGATAGCCAATTTATTTAACTTTAATTTTGTTGAGTGGTGTATAGTGCTCTTGACACACTGGTGAACTTACCGTCACTTTATGTCATCCATGGGTGGGGAAGCCTTAACCCTAGAACACTAACGGTGGCCTGTGAGGCAGAACGAATTCGGTTTTCTCGCGATATTTCAGGAACGCTTTTTATGATCAAAGTAAGCGTTCACGCCAACTCAGTTTAGCGTTGTACGAGGTTGATAGCGGACACACATTGTACAGTGGCCTTTTTTTTACTTTTAGAGAACCAGTTCTAAAATGGTTGGAAGAAATATCGTTGAATGGAAGCGGTAGTGAGGACAATTTGGAAGAAGATTTCAGTGAAAGGGCCTTAATAATAAATAAACTAAGCAGTTGCTTTTCTTGAGATTTCAAACCTTTTGCTTGCGTTATTCAAATAAGTTTACGTAAAAGGCCTGAAATTTTAAGAAAAATAAATTACTTAGTTTTTTTTATTCATAAGGCTCAATGTGATACAAAAAAGTCGATTTCATGTGTAGGTACAAGTCACAATAGAAAAGATAAACAATGAATTTCTTTTAAGTGCAAAAGTAAATACGAATACCTTTAAGAAAATTTATGGAATGTTTGAGTTCGTTCGTCTTAAAAGATATATATTTTTTTTTTTAATTACGCCTCTCAAAAAGATGATAAAATATGTGTTGAATTTCAATACGAAATATTTTTATTAATATTAAAAAAATTATTAAATTATTTTATATTCAACAATTTTATAATGAGCTCGAGGCCATTTTTAAATGAAAAATTTATTGTGGAAAAGCATTTCACATTTAAAAATGGTAGAAGTGATAGCTATTTCGGAAATCACCACATTTCCTCATCAGACTTCTTTTCAGTAGGATTCGAACCGACGATCCCACTGACTCAGCCAGTT